CTCAAAAAAAACGACTTAATAGAGTTCTATTGTGTTAAAAATCCAGTTCGGGAGTGTGTGTGCTTTTAATTTATCGAATTCGTATCGATATTAATCACCTTCTTCTGGTAGGATGACGAGGCCAACAAAAGAAGTTAATAACATTCCCGTCGACACGCTCGGTCGGATTTAACAGGCGCCACCTGGTGGGTGGTCAATGCATACCAACTACCTTATAGTACCTGGCGTTGTTTGCGATTAACTCGTTTTTTTTTTTTTTTTTAATGCGGTGATAGAGAGCTTATAGAACTATTATTGAAATCAAACACAAGAAGATCTTGAGGATAAAGAGTCTAGAGGCATAGTGGGGCAGTTTATGAAGCAGATGGACAATCCAGAATGAATCAACAAAGACAATTATTTGATTGTTGGGGCTTTGTTTATCTCTATACATATCAACAAATTATAAATAAAATTGGTATCTTTATTTTTCGTGAACACACAGCTTACATAAACCAAAATCCCAAATAGCTGTTGTTCATTGAAAAGCGAACAAACAACAAAACAATGTAGGCGTACTATGTTGGGTTTTAATGCGATTGGGCGGATTGCACCAGATAATTACCGAACCAATGTAATTGGTTGTACAAAGGACAAAGACAAAGAGATGTAATGTTCATACAAAAAAAAAGGAACGTATAATGGTAGACAAACAAATATGTAATTAGGAGCGCCATCCATATATAAGTGTATTGTCTCCGATGGCTAAATATTTGCCTGGCAATAGTTTAATTAATTCATAAATCTCTGTCTGACTGAAGAAGCTTATATTCACAAAAAAAAAATGGAACATAAAACTTGTATCCCAAAGACTCCTTCAGGACATTTCGCCATTGTTCGCGGCATTAATAAAAGAAAAACCAGGAAAGGTCTGAGCTATTGTTATACCGCAAAATTGCCTTTGTGGATTTGATTTACATAAATCCATACACCAAAAAAAGAAGTCTTTTATATTGTATAATATTGGAAAATTTGAAATTATCTTCACGATTACCGTGGATATAGCAATCGACATTTATTATTATTACCGTCCAGTTTTATTTCTCCAATAAAAGGTGCGATGTTGGAAATGAAAGAAAATGACAACTACATAAAATATTTTGTTCCGTACGTGTGCGATTGTATTTATGAGGGGGAAAGATGATTTTATCGATAGAAATTCAATTTGGCAAGCTGGACACACTTTCATGACAGTTTTAGGTATGTATTTATAGTAAATATACAAGTGCAATTATTCTCTACGAGAAATCTTGACATCTAATGGGAAAATTTTCAACAATCTTCTGTGTCCAAAAAGGCTGGACAACTCTACCAACCGTTTTGGCAGAATTATTCAGGTAATGATTTGTCCAGTGATGGAATAAGAATTTAGTGTCTCTAGCATTAATATCTCTTTGGTTTGCAAATTTTTTATCAGCCATGTACTGGGACAAAATTTTCAGGGATTGAAGCTCTTGATAAGGGCTTCAAAATAATATGTAGCGTTTACAGTTTTTGAGAAAATCGATTTTGAAGTGTTGGACAAAATATCGACTTAGCTTGAACTTCGAGACTCGATATCTTGGAAACTTCAGAACCTACGGAAACCAATCTTGAATGGCTTTATAGGGAATTTAATGCTCTTTCCAATGATGTATGATTATAGACAATTTGCTCTAATATCATCAAAGATATGAGCAATTATTCATGGGCATGTCAAGATTTCAAAAAATTTCCAAATCCAAAAATTAGATTTCCTTATGGAATTTTTTTCTCATCCAAATGTAACTGATATCAGAGTTGTTTTCGACTAATTTGGACCCGCTCTATCGATTAAAAAAGTCAAAATTGAGAAAAACTGAAAAATAAAAATTTTCAATTTTTTGCATTTTTTCCTAGGGGTAACCCCTTTGGATTTTCATTTGCAAATCTTCAAATTTGAATATCTCAATAACCAAAAGAGGTACTGAGACAAAATTTTCAGTATTTGTAGCTCTTGATAAAGGCTTTCAGATGGTATGTAGCTGAAACCGCTAGCGTTTATACTTTTCAAGAAAATTGAGTTTGAAGTTTTAGACAAAATTTTCACTAAAATTCAACTTTGGAGATTGATTGCTCATGAACCCGTTGAGGTACTGGAATCAATATGGTACAGTTTTGAAGAGAATTTAATGCTCTTTCCAATGATATATAATTTTAGCTAATTTGCTCAAATTCTATTGACTATATGGGCAATTATTCATGAGCGTGTCAATATTTCAAAAAAATTCCAGAGACAAAAATTGAGATTTTCTTTAGGATTTTTTCTCTCATTATAATTCTCAAATCTAACTGATCTAAAAGTCGTTTCTGACTAATTTGGACCCGCTCTTTCGATTTCTAAAGTTAAAATTGCTAAAAATCCAAAAATAAAAATTTTCAATTTTTTGCACTTTTTCCTAGGGGTAACCCCTTTGGATTTTTATTTGCAAATCTCAAATTTGAATATCTCAATAACCAAAAGAGGTACTGAGACAACATTTTCAGTATTTGTAGCTCTTGATAAGGGCTTTCAGATGGTATTTAGCTGAAACCGCTAGTGTTTATGGTTTTTAAGAAAATCGAGTTTGAAGTTTTGGACAGAATCCTGGTCTAAATTTCAACTTTGAGGCTGAATATCTCGGAAACTATATAAGCCACAAAAACCAGCCTTATATAGGTTTGAAGAGAATTTTTTTCTCTTTCCAATGATGTATAATTGTAAGCAATTTTTTCAAATATTTTTAAAGATATTGGCATTTATTCATAAGAGTGTCAGGATTCCAAAAATTTCTCAGGGCCAAAACTGAGATTTCCTTTTGGATTTTTTTTCTCATTGAAATTGTCAGAATGTAAGTGATGTTAGACTTGTTTCTGACTAATTTTGATCCGTTCTATCGATTAAAAAAGTCAAAATTGAGAAAAACTCAAAAATGAAAATTTTCAATTTTTTGCTCTTTTTCCTAAACCCTTTGGATTTTAACTTACAAATCTTCAAATCGCCATATCTCGGTAACCAGAAGCGTTTCTGGAATTTAGGGATTGTATCTCTTGATAAGGGCTTCAAAATGGTATTTAGTTGAAGTCGGTAGCGCTTACAGTTTTTGAAAAAATCCAGTTTGAAGTTTTGGACAAAATTTCAACTTTGAAGCTCTATATCTTGAAAACCCCAAGAGCAAGAAAAACCAATTTTGCATGGCTTTATAGAGAATTTAATTCTCTTTTCAATGATGTATGATTATATATAATTTTCCCAAAAGTCCTCGAAGATATAAGCAATTAATCATGAGCATGACAAGAGTTCAAAACATTTTCAGAGCCAAAAATAAGATTTCTGAGTTGGATTTTAAAATATGAATTTTCCCTCGTATATTTCTGAAACAAAAACGAGGTGGAAAATCGGCCTTATATGATATATAACGCCACATATACAAGAACAACTATTCTTTACGAGAAATCTTGACGTGATGTATAGTATGAATCACCCCTAATGGGAAAATGTTCAACAATCTTCTGGTGTCCAAAGAGCCTGGACAACTCTACCAACTTATAACGACTCAATTCCACTCTCCGTCACTGTTTTCTTTATACTTATTACATAAAAATATATAGAAGAGAAATGAAAATTCTCTTCCCCTCTCTATCGCCGAGAAGCTATTTATTTTTATGCGAGTGTTATCATTGATAGCTGGAAACTCCGTAGCGATTTTTACTGTTTAGGTGCTTTTTGATTTTATGATACATTTGCCAGAGAGAAAACAATATTGCTGCAAAGCGCTGAGGGAGTTTAATGGGGTCGAGCTTAAAAAATAATCGGTTTGTCGCACATTTATAAGGGGGGAATATTATTATTAGACTCTATCCAATGATTACATACCATTTAACATAATTGTGATATCAGGACCATTCCCGCAAATTCAATAAGAAAAAGCGTATTGGAAAAGTCACAGAGGGTCTTATCGCCTATCGCAAATCACTCCCTACACACGAAAAAGCCAAAAAAAGCAGATACACTTATCGCATATGGACCGCTTCCTTTCAGATTTGTCTCTATGCCTTTTCTTCCCCCTATACTTTTTTTTTTATGATTTTTATCCTAATACGAGCTTTTCTGTGGATTCTATTATGCAACACTGATCATTGGCGGAACATCTTAATGATTATAGGAAATTATTTACCCAAAAACTAAATTGCTCAAATATTACCAAGCACTTTTTCAACAAATTCCATATGCAAATGAACCCTCGGAAAAAAAAAATGTATTTATTGTACTCGGTGCATGGCAATTCAAGTCGAACTAAACAATTTTCTCCATGGATCATTGCGCGCACGGCGTTGTTGGTTTTAAACCTAAATAATTGCGTAATTAATGAAATTGTCTTTGGATTTCATGGAATTTTTACGGTTCTGGGACCACCCATAAGACCGGTACCTTATTGGGTTCTCACCAAAAATACATTAGTTTTGTGTAGAATTACATGCAGAGGAAGTAGGCAATTTGATTATCTAGAACAATAAGCACCTTCTTCTATGCAATTAAAACAAAGGCCCATTAAGTTACCATTTTCTTTTTTCTATTGAAGAAGAAGAAAATCTACGTTAATAACGGTTGGCAAATGTGTAATTTAAGTGATAATTCTACCATGTAGTAAGAGCGGGATTTTAAGTGATGGATACAAAATGGAAGAAAATTGTTTTAACCCTAAACAAATTCGCTCCGGTCCTGTATTGCACTCCAGGCCTAAATAATCTATACCCTCATGTAACCTGACATTATACCATCGACAGTCCATTGGCTATCGCGACAATCGTCATACCTTCGACTTCTTAGGCTCCACCTTTCGACCACGACGCCGAGCCAGCCGACCAATTTCACCTTGGTTGGGGTCCCATACCCATTGCCGCAACCATCGCTCCGTTTGGTTTGGCCGACTCTAACTTAATGTACATATGCAAATTTAAGAATGACTGACTTCAATTATAGTAAATTTTCCGTAATTATTTCCACTGGTGCTTTTTTACTGGCCAGAGCTTTGGTCGATTTGTATTGTTTTTCTTGCTGGTTGGAGCGTTGCCCCTTAGGGTTAAAAAATCACACTGTAATAAGGCACCATGTGTTTTATGTTAATTTCGAATTATATATGCTATTCGAAGATGATTACTGGTTTATTTTGTTGCAGTAACGTTCCAAAAACGACTAAGACGAGAAAAGCGGACCAGAAAGCGACTGCAAGATCAACTAGATTTGGAAGTGAACCGAAGGGCTCAGCTAGAAGAAGCGCTGAGAAACGCCGGAGCAGCTGAACAGCTCGATACCATTAACGGTAATAGTGTAACCCTATAATTTATAACTATTTCGCCCATATAATCCCTCGCGGGCTCCCAAATATATTACCCACTGCCCCAATAAACGACCAAAGATCGAAATCGCGCACTCTAGGGATTTTGCGTCTAAAAATGCCCAGCGGGTCTCTCTCGCAACAAGACAGATCTTGGGAAAATTTATCCGGAGGGTGATGATTATATGATTGGCATGTTTGAGCTTTCAAAACAATTACACATGAGCTTAGTGTATCTGGAAATGGCACGCTAATTTATTATTATTGAAATTTTTTGCAGAAAAATTAGCTCAACAAACTCCGATCAAACCTCCGACTCCGAACCAACTTCTTCAGCTGCACCAACAACAAGCGTCTCCGCCTGCTCTGGCGGTCGAAAGGTTGCCGGACAGGATCAAACAGGAGACAGAGGAACCCCAGCAATATGTGACTCCTAGAGAAGCACCTCTCCAACACCAGGAGAACTCCAAAGCACCCACGTGGGGGTACTCTGGTTTGGACTTGATGAGCAGTGGAGCGGCGTTCTGGCAGAATTATTCAGGTAATGATTTGTCGAGTGATGAAATAAGAATTTGGTGTTTAGCATTATACGAGGCATTATATTACCACAAAAGTCAAAGTTGAGCACTTTTTTTCTAAGGGTTGTTTTTGATCTGCAAATCTTCTACCAACCATATTTCGGTAACCACACAGAGAGAATTTTTTTATTGGTATGGGTATTAAATTGGTTTTTCTAGTTTTATTAAAAATTATTTTATTCTAAAGATAAAACATGTTCCACGAAACCGAGTCTCGGCTGTGTAGTACACATCGTGTCCTATCCTGCATACTCAAGCTAGATTCAAGACAAACGTGATGCGAAAGAACAAATGAGTAGATTGTTGCGGAACTTATGGGTGGACCTCTGCGGGACAAGCGCAGCGAGTTCCGCAGCCATCTACTCACCAATATACTGTTGAACTGTTCAAATAAGACACTCACCTGAAACGTGTACTTTTCAAACTAATGAGAATAACTCATATTTGAGTGAGTCAGGTTAGTATCGTAATTACACAACATATTGATGAATAGATGGCTGCGGAACTCGCTGCGCTCGTCCCGCAGAGGTCCACCCATAAGTTCCGCAACAATTCACTCGTGTGTACTTGAATAACTTGTTACATTATATTACTAGTTTGGTAAAGTAAAATTAGTAATTCCTGTTGAAAGGCAAATTGACAAAAAGTGGATAGTCTTACAAATTTTGATTTTATATAATAAGTTATTATTCAAGTACAAATAAGTGGATTGTTGCGGAATTTATTGGTGGACCTCTGCGGGACGAGCGCAGCGAGTTCCGCAGCCATCTACTCACCAAAATATACTGTTGAACTGTTCAATTAAGACACTCACCTGAAACGTGTATTTTTTAAACTAATGAGAATAACTCACTTTTGAGAAAGTCTGGTTAGTATCGTAATTACACAACATATTGATGAATAGATGGCTGCGGAACTCGCTGCGCTCGTCCCGCAGAGGTCCACCCATAAGTTCTGCAACAATCCACTTGTTTGTACTTAAATAATTTGTCACAATATGACTAGCTTGGTAAAGTAACATTACTAATTCCTAATAGGCAAATTGACAAAAAGTGAATAACCATAACCTTATAAATTTTGACTTTATAATATAATAAGTTATTGTTCGAGTACAAATAAGTGGATTGTTGCAGAACTTATGGGTGGACCTCTGCGGGACGAGCGCAGCGAGTTCCGCAGCCATCTACTCACCAATATACTGTTGAACTGTTCGAATAAGACACTCGCTTGAAACGTGAATTTTTTAAACTAATGAGAATAACTCACATTTGAGTGAGTCAGGTTAATATCGTAATAACACAACATATTGATGAATAGATGGCTGCGGAACTCGCTGCGCTCGTCCCGCAGAGGTCCACCCATAAGTTTCGCAACAATCCATTCGTTTGTACTTGAATAACTTGTCACATTATAATACTAGTTTGGTAAAGTGACATTTCTAATTCCTGTTGAAAGGCAAATTGACAAAAAGTGAATAAATAATCTTACAAAATTTGATTTTATATAATAAGTTATTGTTTAAGTACAAATAAGTGGATTGTTGCGGAACTTATGGGTGGACCTCTGCGGGACGAGCGCAGCGAGTTCCGCAGCCATCTACTCACCAATATACTGTTGAACTGTTCAAATAAGACACTCGCCTGAAACGTGTATTTTTTAAACTAATGAGAATAACTCACATTTGAGTGAGTCAGGTTAATATCGTAATTACACAACATATTGATGAATAGATGGCTGCGCAGAGGTCCACCCATAAGTTCCGCAACAATCCATTCGTTTGTACTTGAATAACTTGTCACATTATAATACTAGTTTGGTAAAGTAACATTACTAATTCCTGTTGAAAGGCAAATTGACAAAAAGTGAATAATCCTACAAATTTTGATTTTATATAATAAGTTATTATTCAAGTACAAATAAGTGGATTGTTGCGGAATTTATGGGTGGACCTCTGCGGGACGAGCGCAGCGAGTTCCGCAGCCATCTATTCACCAATATACTGTTGAACTGTTCACGTAAGACATTCACCTGAAACGTGTAGTATTCAAACTGATGAGAATAACTCACATTTGAATGAATCAGGTTAGTATCGTAATTACACAACATATTGATGAATAGATGGCTGCGGAACTCGCTGCGCTTTTAATACTCTTTCTAATAATGTATAATTGTAAGCAATTTTCTCAAAAGTCATGGAAGATAATATTGTCGGACCTGGGGGTTATGAGGGGTGTAAATCAAAGCTAGAGCCAAGTACAAAAATAGGAAAGTATATTTAAATAAAGCTTACCACAAATTCATATCAGTTCTGGGCATGGGCACTAATAATTGTCACCAGACTAAAAGGCACTATTACTACTAACTACTATCGCGGATAATTCACTTTCTGTAGACTGATAACTCATCTTACCTTATTTTATGCTAGTCGAGCCACCATGGTACGTAATTTCTAATTACAATAACTGCCGATGACATGGCGTCGACATTGACCTTCTTTGGATTTCAGTTCCATGTCCGTACAAATTAATAATTCGTTCAACTTGCAATGTTATTTACATGTAACGTGACCGATGGTCTTCCTGTAATCCATGAACTTTTTTGGAAGACGAATGAGTTTAATTTACCCTATTATCCTAGATTTTGGATTGGATTTTAAAATATGAATCTTTTCGAATCATCCCTCGTACATTTCTGAAACAAAAACGTTTATTCTCGGCTAATGGACTAACGCCCCGATGGATAACGAGATTTGCGCCGAAACGTAAATTGACAAAGTCGACATTATACACAGAAAGACAGACAGACAGACAATCTCTTCTGACCAAAGTTGCGAGGGTGGAAAATCGGCCTTTGGGCCATATAATATATAACGACACCCTAGCCTTGGGACATTCTCCGAAAAGTCTTCCATTGTCCCAAATATTTACAATACAATTACTTCTTAAGGAATTACCCTGTTATCGTGTTAATGTAGAGCAATATCTCGGTTCGTTTTGTCTGAGTGTTAAGTAAAAGGGTTCTGTGAATTCAATTAAGAAGTTTTGTTTGGGCACCTAATCGTCTCAACAACACCGCTCCTTTTGCTGTTTTTGATGATTAAGGCGGATTATGCAAAACTCTTGGGTTAAGAGAAAAGGGCTTCAAAACATACAACCAAATGTAGTTATTCTATTGTGAAACTCATCGGATTATTGCCATCATAATTGTCTAATGAATACCATGAATCCATTAAAAAAAATCTGAGCGAGAAAGATCGTTCTCGTCAAGGCAATTAACTTTCGAAAATTAGATATCTCCAGTCAACAAAAGAAAAGTATCGGCATTCAATTCCAGTAGTCGACTTCGGTGTATTTGGCGTAAATTAAAAATGAATTAAAAAGCGGTTGAATAGAAGGGGGCCCCACACAAAGGACGCTCTCCATTTGCTACACACCATAGTCGGAAGAAAGGACACAGTATCGAAATTAAACGGTCGCGGTTTTGTTAAGATTAGTTTATCATCATTAATACCTGGGTATAAAATTTAAATCCCATCACCCAAAAGTAAAACGAAATCAGTATTCATCGTTTTCCCCGCTACAAAGCAGATAGACACTTTGTGAAAGCAAATAAACGGAAAATTTGTTTTGAGTAGCTGATGTGCTTTTCCAACCACCCCTGTTTTTGTCCGACGCCCCCTTCCCCGACAAACCGGTACATTTCACTTGGGACTGAATCTCTCTTTTGAGGTGTGATTTATTTTTTTTCGTTTGGCCACAAGTGGAGTTTCCCGTATATGGCCGAAGGAGTTTACTCTTAGTTTACATAATGTGTTTATGGGCGGAAGTGTTTGCCATCCAGGCAACTTTGCCATACACAACGACTGTTGCCAGCGTACGCTAAGCGAAATTCAATTTCGGTCTTATATTTGTTTGTAATATTGATTTGAACTCCCACCCCACAGGGCCCTGACGAAGTTGAATTAATTAATGCCAACTTGAGACCGCCCCGGGCGATTATGTAATTTTAACGGGAATTTGCATATCATATTTTGTGAAAAATGCTAATTCTAAGTAAATATTTTTGGTAGATATTCCAGTAATGATTATTATTCTCCCTTGTTTAAAGTTGCACATCACATCAAACACCTTGCTTGGCCAATATTGTTCAAAGGAGCGCCGCGGCCATGAATGCTAAGCACCTTAAATCCCGGACCCCGAATTGTCCCTGCAACACATTCCTGCGGGATATAACTACCCCATATAGTCTCCTCTTGCATCTGGTAAACCCTTCGTGTCTAGCGGAAAGTTTTTGATGGTAAATATTAAACTAACCAGAGGCGGAGGAGATTAGACACACTAAGAACTGAATAGATTCTTAGTCGGTCATCTATATAAATTTTACACATTAATACATTGTCGAAAGTTTACATAGACAAACTTAATCACCATCAATCCTAATGAGAAACGACTGGATGTGATGTTGCCGGCCCCCCAAGACCGCGTCTTCCTGCCGCGTCTTACCTCCACGTGTATATAGTTTTAGGCCGGGGCCCAGGAACTTCCGGTTGTTGCCTGGAATAATTCAGATCCGAACTTGCCACTCTAAGCCCGGCTAATGAATAGGTAATTAGTAGTGTAGTTCCGCGAGTCCGTGTATCCACAGAGAAGGCTTCCTGTTGTCCAGGGTCTTGGGACCCATTAAGGCCAAGAAACCTGAAAGTTATGCGCCCATTGTTCCCTCCGGGATACGAAGATCGAATTGAATTAACTGTAATTACTTCGGGATTAATATGGATCGTCGTTTTTGGACATAGTGTCTTCGGCCGATAGGTATAGCCATTGTGCAACTTTCTCGGGTCCCCTCTGTTACTGAGTGTATTAAGTAAAAGCCCTTAGTTTAGTTAGGAGGTAAATTTAATTTATGCTTACACAATATAATCAATTGTTAAGCTTCTACAACTTTTCTATATGTATTTCAGAAATTGTCAGTTTAATTCCAGAAAGAGTCAATTGAAATTTAGATCAGTAAATTGTATTTTGGAAAGCGTCAATTGTATTTCAGATTAGTTGATTGTAGTTCAGAAAACGTGAATTATATTTCAGAAATTGTCAGATGTAGTTCAGAAATCATCAGGTATCTACGCAGATTTTCCAAAATCAACACAAGATAAATGTATAGGTCATTTTAACTTTTATTTAATACACTACATTGTTAATATCTGAAATACATTTGACGAATTCTGAAATACAATTTACAATTTCTGATCTACAAATAAATAATCTGAACTCAAATGACGATTTCTGAAATATAAGTGACCAAACTGAAATACAAATGAATTTTTCTGAAATACAACTGACCAATCTGAAACACAAATGATGTTTTCTGAACTACAACTGACAAAGTTGAAATACAAATAATACTTTCTGGAATACAACTGACGCATTCTGAACTAGAATTTATGAATCTGAAATAAAAGTGATACATTCTGAAATACTTATGGGTATAGTTTTAAGTGAATGCAATTTATAATTCGAGTCAAAGTACGGTCCTGATGGCTCAGGGCTCCCATGGTATACATAAATACATAAAATGCTGCCAATCAAATAAGGCACCGGCTATATGGATGGCGTGTCGAAAAAATCCTTTACCTTTACATAAAGTCCATTTTGTGCCTTCCATAAGCGTATTCAAATTACAAGTTGCATATGAATAATTTTGCTCACACCGCATGCAATTTTTCGACAAAACCCTAATCAGTATCATCAAAATGGCGCGCGGGGTCTATTAGAGTGCCTTATGCATCTTTGAGAAATAATTTGAGTTCTTTTATTCCAGAAACGTTGGCTCAAGAATTGGAAATGGAACGAAAATCCAGACTGCAACAGGCCGAGAGGGACGTAAAGTCGCCCTTACAAGACCGAACTGGTTACTTTAAGAATTCCGTGATGTTCACCAGTAGTGCAACATAAATAGGAACAATTATTATATATAGATATTTAAACAATCAGCTTTTTTTTTTTAATTATAATACTTTGTGTGTGATAAAAATCCTCATATCATCGAGCACAAATTATATTTCTGTAAATAATTTTTTACTTTTTAAGACTGATTTGGGCATAGAGTTTTCAAATTAATAACAATTATAATCACTATTAATAATAATTAATAATGCTTAATTAGTTCTACTAGTAGTAGTAGCTGGACAGTTTACATACAAATATACCTGGTGTGCAAGTATTTATTGTAAATATTTCATTGTGTGTGTGTGCCTTGTAGGAAATAAATCCGTATTATGAAAATTTTTGTGCCTTTTATTTTTTTTCCAAAAATAAATCATTTAAAAAGGGAGGCAGCATGAATTGTATCAAAACATACGGAAGAATAAATCACCCAGGAAAAAGCCGGGGAATGGGAAATCCATTATGGCCCTGAATTAACGTCATCTTGAAAAGAATTAAACGGAATGGAATTAATTATGAGATTGATGACGCGCGGGGTCCAGGAGGCAAAGGCGGCGTTATAGTTTTAAGATTAAATTTATTCCCATAACCAATATCTAAATAATTTAAATACTTACCTGGATTGGTTTCAGTCGGATTTGAAGGACTCGTAGACGTAATGACACCAAGGTGAAAAATCAGTTTTCCCTGGACCCACTCTATTGATTTAAAAAGTCAAAATTCAGAGAAGATCAGGAATTATAGCGATTGATAAAGGCTTTCAGATGGTATTTAGCTGAAGCCGCTAACGTTTACGGTTTTTGTGAAAAACGTGTTTGAAGATTTGAACAAAATTTTCACCAAAATCCAACTTTGGAAGTCGATTGCTCATGAACCCGTTGAGGTACTGGAACCAATTTGGCACAGTTTTGAAGAGAATTTAATGCTCTTTCCAATGATATATAATTGTAGCTAATTTGCTCAAATGTCAACGCAGATCTGAGCAGTTGTTCATGAGCGTGTCAAGATTTCAAAAAATTTCCAGTTAAAAATGAGATTTCCTTTTGTATTTTTTTGCTCATCGAAATTCTCAAATTTAACTGATATAAGAGTTGTTCCTGACTAATTTGGACTCGCTCTATCGATTTCTGAAGTCAAAATTGAGAAAAACTCGAAAATAAAAAATTTCAATTTTTTGCTGTTTTTTTTAAGGGTAACTCCTTTGAATTTTTATTTGCAAATCTTTAAACCTCAATATCTCGGTAACCAAAAATGGTACCAAGACAAAATTTCCAGGGATTATAGCTCTTGATAAGGGCTTTCAGATGATATTTAGCTAAAGTCGCTAGCGTTTACGGTTTTTGAGAAAAACGTGTTTGAAGATTTGAACAAAATTTTCACCAAAATCCAACTTTGGAAGTCGATTGCTCATGAACCCGTTGAGGTACTGGAACCAATCTGGCACAGTTTTAAAGAGAATTTAATGCTCTTTCCAATGATATAAAATTGCAGCTAATTTGCTCAAATGTCAACGCAGATCTGAGCAGTTGTTCATGAGCGCATCAAGATTTTAAAAAATTTCCAGAGTCAAAAATGAGATTTCCTTTTGTATTTTTTTGCTCATCGAAATTCTCAAATTTAACTGATATAAGAATTGTTCCTGACTAATTTGGACTCGCTCTATCGATTTCTGAAGTCAAAATTGAGAAAAACTCGAAAACAAAAAATTTTTTGCTCTTTTTTTTAAGGGTAACTCCTTTGAATTTTTATTTGCAAATCTTTAAACCTCAATATCTCGGTAACCAAAAATGGTACCAAGACAAAATTTTCAGGGATTATAGCTCTTGATAAGGGCTTTCAGATGATATTTAGCTAAAGTCGCTAGCGTTTACGGTTTTTGAGAAAAACGTGTTTGAAGATTTGAACAAAATTTTCACCAAAATCCAACTTTGAAGATCGATTGCTCATGAACCCGTTGAGGTACTGGAACCAATTTGGCACAGTTTTGAAGAGAATTTAATGCTCTTTCCAATGATATATAATTGTAGCTAATTTGCTCAAATGTCAACGCAGATCTGAGCAGTTGTTCATGAGCGCATCAAGATTTTAAAAAATTTCCAGAGTCAAAAATGAGATTTCCTTTTGTATTTTTTTGCTCATCGAAATTCTCAAATTTAACTGATATAAGAATTGTTCCTGACTAATTTGGACTCGCTCTATCGATTTCTGAAGTCAAAATTGAGAAAAACTCGAAAACAAAAAATTTTTTGCTCTTTTTTTTAAGGGTAACTCCTTTGAATTTTTATTTGCAAATCTTTAAACCTCAATATCTCGGTAACCAAAAATGGTACCAAGACAAAATTTCCAGGGATTATAGCTCTTGATAAGGGCTTTCAGATGGTATTTAGCTAAAGTCGCTAGTGTTTACGGTTTTTGAAAAAATCGTGTTTGAAGATTTGAACAAATTTTTTATCAAAATCTAACTTTGGGGGTCGATTGCTCATGAACCCGTTGAGGTACTGGAACCAATTTGGCACAGTTTTGAAAAGAATTTATTGCTCGTCAATAATATCAGGGGCGGATACAGGCCTTTTGAAAGGGAGGGGGGTCAGTTTAAGTTAAAGTAAGCCAGATTGAGTTAGTTTGGGTTAGTTTTGGCAGCGCATTGTGCAAGACACGTTTTATCGAAGGAATGGCCTATGGGAATGAGGGAACTATTTAGAGAATGAGGTGATTTTAAATAGGTAGGTATACAGGGTGTTTTTTTATATATATTGACACCCCACCTGCAGCCTTTACCTTTACATGTAAAAGAAAGGTGTAAATACAAAAGTTGTACAGTTTTGGCTGAATTTTCAGAAACCATGGTCAGAAACAAAATTTGAATGTCAAAAATGTGAAATTTTGTATGCTTCCAGCTTTTTTCAAATGGGATGCCCTATATTTCATTCTATATTCTTGAAGAGCATAATGTCCCGATTCTAAAAATATATAGTTTGTCTATATTTGATTGAACAGTCTCTCATATATTCGGCTCCAAAAATTATAAAAATACTATCCTACTATACTGATTTTGTGAACCATTTTACGTGTACAGGTGAAAGCTGCAGGCAAAATTTGAGGTAGGTTTCTCTGATAGTAGGTCTGTTTCTGCAGAAATCACAAACCAGTCAGAGTGAATTTTATTGGTTGAAACTAGTTTTCTGATTGTCTCTGACTGTTTTCAACCAATGAAATTCGCTCTGACCGGTTTGTGATTTCTGCAGAAACAGACCTATTATTTTTAAAATTTTTAGAACCAATAAATATGTTGGAGTCGGCTCAACCAAATATAGACAAACTATATAGTTTTGGAATCGGGAAATTGTACTTTTCAAGAATATAGAATCAAATATAGGACATCCCATAAGTAGTGCATATTTAATAGGAATACCTATGTCATGTGTCTTAATCTTAATAAAGTATTTCTCATATATCCTGTTCACAATCCGATGTCAGGTGCAGGTAAATTTATCACCTTTCCCTATCAAATAGCATTGAAAGTTGATACATTTTATCTGTACCTGTGGAGATCGGATTGTGAACGGATAATAAATACTATTGGTGTTTGATTTTCTTATGCAAGTTTTCATAGTCTAATGATTTAATGATTTAAAAAAAACGTAGTTAAATTAATTAATTGAGTATACCCCTTTAACAAGGCAACTTATCTGCCTACTGATTTCTACTAATATTTAGATTGGTAATCTACTAACAAAACAAAATATGACCTGGCAACACTGTCTCAAAGACATCGTTCAAGACAGATCACCCTGTGCCATACAGTTCTTCAGCACGGTAGCATGCATCCCTAATATAAGTAGAAATTATGAATTAAAAATTTTCTAACTCCGTCACTGTTTTATCTCAGTCTTTTGTAAAATGAATACCAAAATAAGGTTTTCCTATATATATATACCTACAGGGAAAAGAGGGGCTGTTTTAATTATTATTTTCCCAGGACGCGGCTCGTCTTCTTAATTCCTAACACAAAGTTTATTCAAAAGGAAATATTATCTCTTAATCTAATAAAGGCGAGCTTCAGTGTTTTTAGCTTTTGCACCTGACTCTTTTGCCACTTGAAAATAATGCTTAACTCGAGAGAGTTACACAAAAAGCATCATTTATTATAAATCCAGAAGGAAATGACACAACAATTGAAACGCGTGTCATGGCCCTATTGGCATTCCAAACTGGGCCCTGGATTTAATAGCCCAGCTATAGTAAAACACTAGATCCATCTATCACGGCGTTTTCTTTGGAAGTGCAAGTCATTGAGATTTTGGTGTGACTTTATAATGATTTTTGCAGGAATAATTATATCAGACTGGCTAATTTCGCGTATACACGGAGAATGTTCCCTAATTGGATCACGTTGCTGTTAGTTATGCACGTCAGATTGCTGCCCAATCTAATTAGAAGACAATTTGTTAATGTGTTTTATCCCTGTCTGCGATTGGATTCCTGTTCTTCCACACTCTCTCTACAGGACCGAAGTTCGACTGAAATTTAATAATAAAGCGCCCGATCGATCCACCGGAATATACATGTCGTCGGGCGAAACGTAATTATTTGTTGTCGTCGTAGAGCAAATTTGATCTTTGTTGATTGTCTTGTTTTGGGGAGGATTTCCCTTGGGAATTGTGTTTATTATAAAACGGAGCTAAAAACTCCAAGATACTAATCGTCTACCTCATAACAATTTCGTCTAATTATCAGCAAAATAATAATTGAAAATTTATCAGCTACTTTGAATACTTACGAGCCGTAATGGCCGACTCTAATAAGTCTTGAAAACATGGCTGTGCTCGCCGGATTGGTCAAATTGTATATGGCTTATAATTTGATTTGTAATTTGCCTTAAAGCAATTGCCCGATGCGAGTTAATTGGGCCCTCTTATGCCTTCTTGAATACTAATTTTTTTTTCCCTACATTTACATTGTAATAGTATTTGCGCTTGTGAAGCAAAAATTAATCGAAAGCAATTTACTGAACGCGTCAAAAATTAATATACAAAAGGAAATCTGGACGGATTTCGTAAAAGCAAAATCACAGAGGGAAATCCTTGGCGACAGATCAAAACAAGCGCATTAACATGCAAATGAATTCGGCACTAATAAAAACATCATCATCTAAAATTTGGTGCGTGAATTCGAAATCTGGCTGCTGCTGCTGCTGCTTTGGAAAAGATGTTCGGGGACGCTAATGTCAGAGGGTTTTTCACTCTAATGTACAGAGTTGGATCAAGAATGTTGT